CTCATTTCATGTGATTTTCTTTGAGGATAACTTTCTGTAGTTTGGGTATAATGTAGAGAGTGTTACTAGATAATATACCGCAGAGAGAGAATCAACCTTTGGTTCTCTGTGTGTTGTTTGCTAATCTAAAACAATAACAGTAGTTAACAGATTTTTTTTAAAAAAATGGAGGGATTTTATTTCTCAAATATCCTGGTATGCAGCTCTCATATGATTATGAACCACCACTATTACCTACCTTGTGGGGTGTTAATAACTAATTAAATTAGTCAAGGAAGTTTTCATCTCAACAATCGTCCTGAACTTTTCTCCATCTGGAAATTATATCTTCTTCCAAGTTCCTGCTTTAGCAATAAAAAAAAACATTCTTTGAACTGCTTCCATATATATAACCTAGTCTCTAATGAATAAACAGTCTACTTACCCCAATTCCATCCATTCAATTTAAAATATTTGTTTATTGTTAAATTTATTTGTTATTACCATGGGGCTACTCTGGACAGTTTGCAACAATAAAATGAAAAAAAGTTATTAAAAAAGTAAAAATAACAATAGTAAATTTTAACTTCAGTTGTCATCCTCTGACAGTAGGGAAACAGTTCAATTCTCAGGATATATTGTCACTATTAATTTCAAAATGTCATTCTTAAAAAATTAGTCTCCTTCAAGTCACCACAGCTTTGATTGTGATCCTGTAATTTTTATGGCAGTAATGAAGAATACCATCATCCGGGAGCATCTTCCTGGATTTCATTTTGACTTAGTATAAGTTGGAGCCACAATATTTGCTGATGTGCTCACTATCAGCCCTGGAGATCATCATTAACTTTTTCCCATCCACACTTGGTGGATGGCGAAATTGTGGAAAACAGGAAGGAAGTGGATGGAGTCAGTGTGGGATGTATAGCCATAACATTTTTTCCCTCAGTCAAGGATGTTCAGCCTGCACCTGGACAGGTGTGACTGGGAATCTGTTACAGTTGGGACAGTGACCTGATTGGCCCATGTGATGCCCATGTGTATGCAGGGGAAGGGATTTTGACTTTACTTTGGCTGGGGAAAACCCCGGGGGCTTTCAGATTTGGGTTTTCCCAGATGTGCCAATATGACATCTCTAATAAAATTAAGGTTTGAGGAAAATGCCTGCCTTTGAGTTTTACTTCTGTTGGTGGTGTTATTTGGAACCCTGACATTTACTTCTAAATAATAATCAGGATAGATGCTGCTTAGCTCTTGGAATTCTATCACTAAGTAAAAGAGCAATTTCATCATGAGATGCTAATCTCTTATATATAAGATCCTGTTGCATTTTATAGTTAATATATAAAATATAAAAATTTCTTACCATTTTACAAGGATTAATTTCACCCTGAAATAATGCTCTTACAAATAAAACTTGTCTCTCATCTCTATTCCTTTTTCTCCCAATAACTGGTATTTCGGCACACCCTAAAATACTATTCCTCATGACAAAACTCCAATATCTGATGAAGCAGAGTGCAATTCAGATAATATTATGTGTTATAATGCACTGGTTCTCAACCTTTTCTTCACCATGGACCCCCTTTAAATAGTTTTTATGGCAATGGACTGACTCCCAAGACTTAAATCGTAACATTTTTTCAAATCTTCACGGACCTCCTGTGACATCACAGCCCCCCATGGGTCTGCAGACCATAGGTTGAGAATCATTCTTGTATTAAATTATATAATACAATAAATAAATGCTAACATCTTCATGATTATTTAATGTTATGTATTATAAAAACTATGTTCATATTATCCCTTGAAATAAAGGGCACAGTACCTACAAAAAACTTGAAGGATATAGAAAAATATTTTGCAACTATTATGCATAATCTTTCTTTTTGCAGGTTTGCATCAATTACTATATATTGTATCTAATATCTAATAAAGCATTCAAAAGATACTTAAATAAAATTGTTTTTCCATTACCTTCTCTGCTAAATGATCATCACTAAATTAACTTATGATGCTACAATTTACCTTTCCTTTTTGGGTTATTCATCAATAATTTTCTTCAGTATCTGCACCAATTCATATTATTTCAGTGCAGACAAGATTCGAAAAAGAAATGTAACTATTTATGATGACAAACTTAAGTAATAAATCCTTCATATTTTAAAAAGATTCTTCCATTTGTTCTCTTTTTTCCCATGGCTAGATTCATTGGGGGGGGGGGGGGTTATAGCATGAATTTTTAAACAAAGCATAAAATATTTTAAAATTATTATTAAATTCTTTCATACTTCCATTTTAAAAGATTTAGAAAATTCTAGTAATGTAGAATAAAAATAATATCTGGTTTATTTAATACTTAGACAAATACAATACAGATATAATGAATCAGTTAATTATCAATGCAATTTCCCAATATTGCAATAAACAAAAATGTTTACATATGCTCAGCTCTACAGATGATATCAGTTTACATGATACTGAAATTGCTAATTTAATTCCATACTGACTGAATTTATGTAAATAACAGAATTGGATTTGGATTTAAATTTAATATTCCACTCTAAAAAAAATAAGTCAAGCTATTTATTTTGTTTTCAAGACTCAAATGCAGATGTACAGATAACAAGTGGGAAGTTAGGGAGTGAAATATCCGTCCACATTACAATCACATTTGCAAATAAATGTGAATGCTTGAACCAAAAACTTTACTGGTGCTCTTGGACAAGAAAAAAAATCCCCTGCAATTTACTGAAAAGCAGAGATCCAGGGAGTACCTTTATAACCTCAAGCATACAGATTATCACTGCAACAAAGGTTTGTAAAGAAAAAAAATGTGCCTATATCTATAAAAGTTTTAAAACAGCCCTAACATTGATATTCCTCTGGAAATTATTATGGTTGAACTGGTATGATAAAATGCATATCTTTCTTTTCTGCTTATTTTGTAATCAAAAGTGCACATCTGCATAGAAAATAAGGGAGGTTACGTATCAGAAATAGTAATAATCAAATGTGACTTTATGTCAGGATTCATCTCTCCCTTCTCGCTCATTTCATGTGATTTTCTTTGAGGATAACTTTCTGTAGTTTGGGTATAATGTAGAGAGTGTTACTAGATAATATACCGCAGAGAGAGAATCAAAAAAAAAATTCTTGGATGACCTTCCCTGCAATGTCAGCCTTATTTGGCCTGGTTGGAAGAAGACTCGCTTTTTTCAAATCAAGGCTATCGGTAAGCAACCAAAAGCATCGCTTTACATTTCTCGTTGGGAAAAAAACACACTTTAACCTAATTCTTCAGTCAAATACAATAAAACAGCTCATTCTTCATCCAAAGCGATTCCATATGAGAGAAAAAAACGGGGGAGGAGGAATGCACACATGCGTACCGCTGAAAGCTAAACGTCAACTATTATGGTCCTCCACTTCCGCTCAAGCAAAGCGCCAAAGACGCCTTCAAAAAACCGGAACCGGAACTTTCAAAAGCTAGCGCCATTTCTCAATGTTTACCCATTTTTAAGATGCGCGGCTTCAATTCCTAGAATTACCCAGCCAAATATTACCCTAGGCCAGGGGTCTCCAAACATGGCCGCTTTAAGACTTGTGGACTTTAACTCCCAGAATTCCCCGGCCAGCCAACCTACCTGGCGAAGTTGAAGTCCACAAGTCTTAAAGCGGCCAAGTTTGGAGGATCCTGGCCTAGACCTTGGCGATAAAGCCACTTTTCGTCTGAGGGCATGCGCATTCTGGCCAGCAAGATGGCGTCGTTTGCTGGATCTAGAATGGCCTTTAGGGTCGCCTACGGGCTGCGCTCCCGCTCCTCCCTCGATGTCCTTTGCCGTTGCGGGGGAGCTCGATTCCTCTGTACGCCTGCGCCCGCCGGGGGTGTCGAAGAAAACCACAGAGACCCTCCCTGGGTTGGGACCTGGTACGAGACGCTCTCTTCGTCGGCGCCTGTCGCGACGGTAGAATCGGGGTTAATAGCGCTGCAGGTTGCATCCGGGCTACCCTGGTGGTCCACGGTGTTGGCAGCTACGGCCATCCTGCGCACTGGCCTAACCCTTCCTCTCAGCGTCTTCCAGAAGCGCGTCGTCGCCCGCGTGAGTTCCAAAAGGAGGGGTTGCCACTCAGCCTTTGCAGAGGGAGTTCTTCTTAGTAGATCGTGTTCTTATTTACGGAATGTGGATATTAAAAGTGACCCTCCCGAAGAAAGTGGGGTGCACGTTTTTTTACACCGAGTGATGTTGAAGTGTGACAGCTTATAAATGGTAAAATTTAGATGAGCAGTCCAAATTCTGCTGAGATCTTTATGTACTTGTGAAAAAGATGTGCCAGCACAAAGACGCTAGCACCTGCATGACCATTCATCCGATTTTTTTGGATCTGCATCCATGTGGGCACATCTTCAGCTCCTGAACTTTTAGCAACTAACATTCACTTTGCCTCATCTAGAAATACATGAAGTAATATGGGTATACAGATGCATTGAGATGTATGGAATATATTTAGTTTAATTAAATTATGTAAGCAAGATCTTATTAGTCTGGATAAATATCTGTTTCTTCCTTTCCCCTTTCTCCTTTTTTACTGTGCACAATATTTTTTCTTAGTATGTTCATCCTTTGTCATCCAGAATGCCCTCTAACATTTCTTATTTTGCCTGTTCATTGTTTATACTTTATGATATACACTAAAATTTCCATTAGAAGAGAAGATATCCTTAACACAAATAGTGTGAAAAATGTCACATGATGTATAGCTAAGTTGCTGACCTAGAAACTAAGAGGCTTTTAGAAAATAATATGGGAGAAAATGTGTATTTTGTATAATTAAGACTTCTTTGTCTTTTCAGCTAGTTAGAAAAATTGCAGCCTGAAATTGAATCCTTAGCCAAACAGCTCCGTTATGAAGTTTCAGTTTCTGCAAAGCAACACAATTGGTCTGAAAAGGAGGCTAGGTAAGATGTCTCTAATAATCACAAGAAAATACCAATATATGTTCTTCAGTATTTCGTATTTGGATTGGTTATCTGAGAGACAAACATATTTGTAAGATGCTTGTACCATATCCTACTATGGTATTTGTACAGTAATCCTACTGTATGTCTTGCTCTGGGATTTGGCCTCCTTTTCTATATTTTTCTTTCAGCTATTTGTATATTTTCTGATTAGCATTTCATAGAGATCTAAGTAAACTTCTGATCTTTTCTCTTTTATTCAAAATATTTTATTTACATTCCTATTAACTGTTCCCAGATATGACATATGATGAACAAATTTATTTGAAGCATTTGTTTTTCTGCCAAGGAGTTCTCAGAATCACTCTCATATCAATTACAATTAAAGAATGCAATCCCTGTTTTCAGGTATACAATATAGAAGGCATCTCTTAAGAAAAATGGGATGAGAAATGAAGAATAAATAACTTTAGTCTCCAAGTTTTACAGTATCTGTTCTTACTACGATCAGGAATAAAAATGGACTATCATTAACCATTACTTTTCTTTGAATAATTTAAATCTTGGAGGCCCATCCTTAATTTTTTTTAAAGCAGGTGGCCATAATGATCTCCCACAACTTACGAATGAATGATCTCCCACAACTTATAAAAATACTAAATAGCTGCTCCTGAAAGTCAAATGTTTTCCACAGGTACAGTGGGGCAAAAGAGTATTTAGTCAGCCACCAATTGTGCAAGTTCTCCCACTTAAAAAGATGAGAGAGGCCTGTAATTGACATCATAGGTGGACCTCAACGATGAGAGACAAAATGAGAAAACAAATCCAGACAATCACATTGTCTGATTTGGAAAGCATTTTTTTTTAAGTGGAAGAACTTACACAATTGGTGGCTGACTAAATATTCTTTTGCCCCACTTTAATTACATTAAAAAAATAGTCCAAAATTAACAGTAATAGTTCCACTAGCAATAGCTTTAATATAATGTGCTATTCTTTCTTACCTTAGAAATACTGCTAAATTCTAATTCTAGACAATTTCCTTATTGTAACATTTAAAGTCAAGATGGACTTGACTTGGTATATACTGAAATTCTAACTCAGTAGAAGTAACCACTTTTGTTCATGGACTGTTCTGTTAATCTCTAAAATGATCTTTTATTTCTCTTTCCATCCAGGGCATGCTACAGGAGAAATATAAAAAGAATAGTTTCAGAGTTATATATTCGAGATAATTGTCATCCTTTCAAGACCACCCTGCTCATTTGGGTACAGCTTCCAGTATGGGTCTTTGTTTCCGTAGCTTTACGTGATTTAAGTATTGGCAGAGGAGATTCTGAAGGTAATAGTTGTGTAGTACTGCTTTAAATTATTGTATTTTCTAAAATTCTTTTCTCAGTGATTTACTTTCTTAAATGAAACATTTCTTTTCAGACTTAATATTTTTTCTAGCTTTGCCATTAAATCATTTTAATTCTGAAGTTGATTACAGCAAGTAAGTATAATTAAACTTGTGTACTGTCTGATTCCCAATGATTGGGTAGTTTACAATACTCAAACATAAACATAGTAAAATGGCAAGTATGACAGATCCAGTGGTGGGTTCCGGATCCCGTTCCAACCGGTACGGTTAGAACAGGCCCAGCGTCACACACATGGACACATGCATGCATGCGTCATACTTGCCTGCAACGCTTCTGCAAACCTCCATGACGCTTAAGCTGCTTGGCAGAGCGTCATGCAGGCGCCGTACATGCTGTGCGCAGAAGCGCCAAAGGTTTAAAGGATGGGTGAGCTTGGAAGGGCCCTCCGGAGCACCGTACTGGAACGGTACCTGGTGCTCTGAGCAGGCTTCGGTACACTCGTACCGGGGTGTAGTGCCTGTAACCCACCACTAGACAGATCGAATGAAGTAAGGAATCTCACTCTTCTTCCCTCACCAAAGGTTGGTGAAGAGCCAGATTTTCACCAGCCTTCTGAACAACAGCAGGGAGGGACCATCTAAATTTTTCTAGAGTACAGGCACTAATGTCTGTTCTTCATGCAGGAGCTGAGAGTTCAGATAGGCTTCCAGGTTGTACAGTGCATGAGGAGTATAAATAATATCCAACATAATTATTCAAGTGTTAGTGCATTATAGTAGAGCAATAAGAATTAATCAGCAAAAGCTATTCATTGAATATTATTATTATTATTATTATTATTATTATTATCATTATTTAATCTGGTGCAGCAGAGAGCTTTGCATAGTGAGCCAATTTGATGTAGTGGTTAAAGCCTCAGGCTAAAAACTGGGGGACTGTGAGTGCTAATATCATGGTTGCAAAACTAGCATGGTAACTTTCAACCAGTCACTTTCCCTCAGTCCTGGGAAGCAGGCAATGGCAAACCAGAAATCTTGTCAAGAAAACTGCAGGAACGTATCTAGGCAGGTGTCGGGATCAACACTGATTCAAAAACACTGCCTATATGGGCAGGAAAATTCCCTTTCTCTCTCTCTCAGTTCAAACCACCTTAAAGGAGTGTCGTGAGGAAGTAGGGGGCAGGAGTATTACTCTGTGAGAGAGGGAGAGGAGAGATGGGCAGACAGAGATCCAATAGTAATGGTCTGTGTCAGATGATCTATTTACCTTTGAAGCTGCTGAATAATATTTAATATGCAAAATGTAAGCATAATTATCAATGAAGTTGTATAATTTAAAAATCTGAATTGAAAAGAAAAAATGCAATGACTCCTCTACTATTACTTTAGTCTAACCCATTGGTAGATCTAGCTCTAGTGTTTATAGATCTAACCAAGTAGGAGAAAACCAACATCCAGAAGTTGCTGTTGCTAGTCCTTTTTACAGAATCTGCTAGCAATCATTCCTAGTTTAAATTCACTATCAGTACTAATGCTCTAAAATATTCGCCACATTTACAATAAATAATATGCCAATTATTTGTGTGTTTTCAACAGGGCTTTTAATTCAGGAGCAGTTTTCCACAGGAGGCATACTCTGGTTTAAAGATCTCACTTTACCTGACTCAACTTGGATTTTGCCAATCACTCTTGGACTTCTCAATCTACTGATAGTAGAGGTATTAGGTCTATTATAAAATCAGGGGGTGGATTAGAAGCTGTTGTACCCCAAGTAACATAACAGCTTGTAATTTGTTTATTCTTCTTATATAATTCTAATTTAATACAGGCTCTCCAGTTTTCAAAACACTAAGCAAGGAATATTGAGATGTAGACACAATATCTACAGTTAGTACATATAGAATTGGAAACAGCCAATTATTAAACAAGTTACAAACTACAGAGAGGAAAACACTAAATAAAGTTAGGGCTGGTATTTGCATTCCTATCATTCAAACTTTGGTGAAATATCAACATGCTATCCCAGGGGCACTTTTATATTTAATTTTCATTTGGAAATTGTATGCTTTTACTTGATTTCAATAATTTCTGACAATATGAATGTTAAAACAAGTGCAGTCATTGCCACTGCTGCTGACTATATTGTAGATTTAAGATTCAGATAGCACCCAAGACATAGACATAATTTATTAAATTTGTATGCTGCATGATACTCAACAACTCTGGGCTGTTCATAAAAACTAAATAAATTACCATAAAATTAGCAAAATGGCAAGTGTACTGAAGCTGGGAGAAGGATACTTAATAGTAACAATAACTGGATTAGAGCAAGTTCTAGTTTTATTATTTTACCTACTATAATAATTCATAGTGTTCCCTCATTTGGCTTTTGTTCACTAGGTATGGGCATCAATCATTTTAAAATTTAATTGTCACAATTGATAAAGTTTAAGGGTCTGGATGATATAATGCAAAGAAGAATAGTTCATAAGTATTGCAAAATTAACAAAAGAGATAGTTTGGATTCAAACGAATGTCCAGCTTTCTAGAACTCTCACAAATGTGTAGTATAATGGAAGGGAATTTGTTTTAAATGCATATGAACTCAGATAATTTGATGTGATGGAATTCATGGCATTTATTTTTATTTGATACATTTAATATAACAAACCACTTGACTTATGAGTGGTGCACAAGAATAAAAACAGATAAAAAAATGATCAAGCCAGCAAAAGCCAGTGATTGCTTTATTTTTAATAGCAAACATTCAGACTCACCTAATGCTGCTGGTAAGAGTGATTTTTTTAATGAAGAGACTGAATTATTCTACACCCATACCTAACCACTAAATTTTTCTTTTGTGTTTTTCTTTTCGATGTATAATGCTACCAGGCTAGGAATAGAAGTAGCTTCTTTTTTAAAAAGCCGATTCTCATAAACCAAGAGGTTTTTTCCCAAGGACAATAGTAGAGTCTGACAATGCAGTTAATGAAATTTCTTCACTGTTCTTTGAAAGTAAAGCCATTTATTGACATGATCTTGACCATGTCAACCTATTTTTTTAAACCAGGGTTCAAACTTTCAATTCTAAAAAATAAGACACAACTCTTTTCTGTACTTCATGAAAGCATATCTATAATTCCTGTCAAAAATACCTAAGTGGTGCCTATCGGAGCAATCTTTAATGAAAGTCTCTTAATTTTTTTTATTGCAATACTGAGATAATAATTACCTGTGATTTACCTGCAAAAGATGGACTCATATTTACTTGTCCTTCTCACTTACCTTGCTAGTGTTTAGTATAAACAAATTTTCTGCTTCCAGATCTCATAGACAGAGCAGTTTGTATGTAGATAGTTGATCTAAATAGCCAGATGGTTGCCTACGTAGGTTTAATTTGTAGACCTACAGTCCATTTCTAATGTGGCTACATTAGAAACAAACTGATTTAGTATGTGTGGATATCATTGCCAATGGTTATATATTACTCCAAAATGTAGGGACTAACCTTGAGTCCTTAGTCTGAAATAGCTTAGACATTCCGGATCATAAAATAATTAGCATAAACAAGACAGCCTATTGTGAAGCTTCAGAACAAGTGATAAAAAAATTCATTTACCGAATACAGAGTAATTTTGTCCACAGAAAGAAAATTGTTTACTTTGACAGCATGGGTAGTTTGATATAAAGAACATTTCTGAGTATATTGGGAATTCTAAAATTTAATTTTGTAAAATAACTTTAAAAGATACTTGTTAAACATATTTTATGCTGTTAAGGTTTGGTTTAATGAAAAAATATGGACATAAAAATACATACAAAGTCTTAACAGAATGGGTTCTGTCAATTGTACTTTAACTTACTTGGCGTCAGTACCTCCTGCCCTAATCTTCTCAACTGTGCAACCTTACATGTAGTCATTTCTGTAGTTCTATTATTATGTTTGATTATCAAAATCTCTAATTCTTGACTTGTAATTCCCTGTCATAAGGCCTTCCATCATACTGTAGAATACTATGGCTGTAAAAACTCAAAGGTGTATCAGGTGATACATGTAAATATGTGAATAATCAGCTAATTTGTGGAGAACATCATTCAGTAAATATAATCCTAACTGATATTTCTTCTTACTGTTTCTAATTTGTCTTTCCAGATTTTTAGTTTAAGAAAAACTGAAACATCCTGGGTTTGGAAGTATGCTACCAACTTTTTTCGAGCAGTCTCTGTGCTAATGATCCCCATTGCTTCAAATGTTCCATCAGTAAGTTTGTTAGTATAGTACATTATATTAGCTGCAAAAGGTCTTTGCTTCCAACATTGAATGGCTTCATATGGATGTTCAATGTTGGGAACATTGGGGAATCGTATTATTAAGAATATTGTTTTTCAGCAGATTGGCAGTTCGATTCCCACTGGCTCAAGGTTGACTCAGCCTTCCATCCTTCTGAGGTCGGTAAAATGAGGACTCAGATTCTTGGGAGCTGATATACTGATTTTGTAAACTGCTTAGAGAAGCTGTAAAGTGCTATGAAGTGATATATAAATCTAAGTGCTATTGCTATTTTATATTGGTATTGCTAGCTTATAAATACTTATAGTGCTGTTTCCTACATTGTGTGATGGCCAGTGGGGATTTGAATTCAAATCTTCCTCTCACCAAGTCATATTTTCTATTTACTAAACCCATTCTGTCCAACTAGTGTTATATGTGGCACAACAGAATTTAGAGATCATCTACAAATCATAAAATAGGACATTAACTCTTGCTGCACATTATCAATACATATTCTTTCGCCACATAAATGACCTACTTGGAAGAATGTCTTTTTGAGGTAGAATCTAATTTTCATATGAGCTGATTGTTGAGAAACGGTTGTGAATTATAATGCTACATGGCAACTGAAAAAAAACAATCTGACGTATTAAAATCAGTAACTTCAAATGCTGCATGTAAACAATGGTTTATGAAGCTCAGTTTTTAAGATGGCTTCCTATGTGGAAATTGCTGAATATTTCAGACATTCTAAATAGGATTTCATGGAGTCATGGTTATTCACTATTCTTCATCCTAATATGATACATTTATAAAGATAAAATTAGGGGGGTATAATGCCTTATTCAGAATTCCTAGGAAGAAAATGGGATAACACGTTACTCAAGCTTTTTTTTTAATTTGGATATTTTTAATGAGAGATGATGTGACTAGTTGGTAATAATATTACTTTTATTCACTTTGTTAAAGTTAGTATGTCCTTTTTCCTTCTTTTATTTCAGATACTAGCTTTGTACTGGGTATCTTCCAGCTTCATAGGCCTTTCACATAACCTTCTGCTGCGCTCTCCTGCTTTCTGTAAATTATTCCATCTCCCTCGGACCAAGTCTGATTCAGATACTCCATACAAAGACATTGTTGCTGCTTTGTACATGAAATATTTCTTTAAGTGATATACATCTCTGTAATAGAACCAAATGATTTTTTTACTATATTAAATTGTATTATGAAGCTAACTTTGTTAGAGTAGAGAAACTTTTTATGTCCCCTTTAGGAGGAGACAACATCCTTAAAAATATTAGCTTTCGATTCAGTGTTTGTTTTTAATTTATATGGAATTTCTGAAATCTTGCAGCTTTTCCTGAAAAACATTTCTTGTCCTTCTAGGTGATGTAATTGTTTGAATATTATGTATTGATATTTGTTTCTTAATAATTTTGGCAGCTTAAAATACAAGCATACTTTTCAGCATGCATATAACATGGTTTTCAGATATTTTCGAAGTGATTTAGAAGAGAGAAAAACTCCCATCCTATCTTCTGTGTCATATCCTAACCCATGTCAGATGCTGACATGTACAGTCAAAGGGAGATAATGAGTTGCCAAACAGAAAAGAACTTTAGGGGTGAAGTTAACAGTAAACCTCCAAGTAGCTACCATTCATAGGATTTCAATTGATCACATTTCTTCCACATATCCTCTAGAAAACAGTAAGTTTCTTGCACCCATATTAGTCTAGATCAGTGGTTCTCAACCTGTAGGTCGGGACCCCTTTGGGGCTCGAACGATCCTTTCACAGGGGTCGCCTAAGACCATCGGAAAACACATATTTTCAATGGTCTTAGGAACCGAGACACCAATTTTATGGTTGGAGATCACAACATGAGGAACTATATTAAAGGGTCGCGGCATTGGGAAGGTTGAGAACCACTGGTCTAGATGAAATGGTTAAATATATGTTAATTTTACTTTTATAACACCTATGATTTACATTTTTGTATTTAAGAAACATTGAAATATTTTAGCAGTGAGTTATAAATATGCAATTAGAAATCTGAGACTTGGGGAAGACATTACATAAGGGATAGTATCTAAGTTTAAAGAAGACAAATCTTTCTTTCTTGAGCAATCTCTTCGTTTTCTAGCAATGCAATTGACCTGTGACAATTGCCCAGCGTCTCTACTAGCTCCACAGTTTTAGAAGCAGCTCTTTTAACTGTAGTTATATTGATTTAGCTGTTCATATACCAATCACCATTTATGTGGAAGAATCTAATGAACTTTCATACTATTAATAAGCATATTTCTAATCACATTGAATATATATTTTTTAATTTTAAGGAAAAATGTTCATTAACCAGTAACCATTCTCCAATCTGCATTAACAGAAAAACTAAAGTTATCATTTGGCTTCATAGCTCTGAATAAAAAAGGGAAAATAAATTAGCCTAATACTTTAAAACAGTACTTTAAACAGTACTCCAGTACTGTTGAACTGGAACTTTGAAAATGACATTAGATACATTTAATTCACAAAAAGTAGTACCCCAAATACCTGCTGTTATAGTGGACAGATTCTTCCATCCTTTTTTGGCGTGTGTGGAATTTAATGCATTTTGGATGTGTTTCTAATTTTTCTTTCAAATATATATTGAAATAGACAAATGTAACTAGTACATAGTGTTAAGCACTTTGTATGAGTCAGACTCATGATCAATTCAGCACAGTGAATTGGCAATTATGGCATATTGTGATGTTTCACAATAAAAAGGTTTCCTCAAACGAACCAGCTAGGATCGTTGCAAACTATTCAGCATCACAGATATAGTATCAACCAAGTTTTCACTGTACCATAAGTAATCTAATTTCTGGAGATGGATGAAAATACTGCTGTGGCTAAGTTTGAAAAGCTGATTTATACAGTGGTGCTTAAAAGTTTGTAAATCTTTTGAAAGTTCAGTATTTCTGCATAAATATGACCTGAAACACGACTTGTTCTACACAAGTCCTAAAACTAAATATTTTTGTTCACTACTTTTTAATTGCAAATTTTGGTTTGATTACTTATTTTATGTATATAACTTATCATAGTATAAAATGCCAAATCCTCATGGTTCATCCAAAACCATGATCAATGCCATCTTTGTCCTATGTCCTGGCCCGACACCTGTTTGAAAGGGCTTATCAGAATCTTTGAATCTGTAACCAAACCACTTTCTCAATAACAGGAGACAGAGAAAAAGTTGTCCAGTGGGTGCAGTGGAGCGGGCGAATCATCCCCTCCCTTAAAGAAGGTGGCATTACAGTTATCCACCACCACCTGGGAAGGGCATGAATCCCATTAACAAGCCACAAGGGGTATGAATCCAGGAATTAACAATCTTGGAACATTCAGCCCATTTACTTGGTAATAAAAGCCACAAAATGTATTTTAATAATTAATTTTTATCTGTTAGAATAAAAACAAAACAAATGAAAAACAATTTTAGGATTAAAATATAGGAAAATGACCTTTTTGCATTGGATACATTACAAGAATGAAGAACTGAAGATGATCTACCACTTCCATATTTTATTTGTGATTTTCTAACAACGTTAAGCTAGCTATTAGAGTAGGATGATGGAGAAAGGCATACCACTTGAGTTTTCCTGCAAGATTTTTTTCCAGAAAATCAATGAAAAAGATATTCAAACATACAATCACATGGCTGGCACTGCAGTACTTTATTTAAATGCTACAACAGATGAAGTATCAAGTCATATTTTTGATCAGGCAATGTATTAAGGAATAAAGTATGACTCAATTACACAACTTATTCTTGCTACATTTATAGTTCATTCAAGAAGATTCTAATTTTATCTGTGTTTAGTTACAGCATCTATATCGCCATGCCAAGGATTAACAATCCTCAGCTTTTAATAAGAATTTAACCCAAAATCATGTCCATAAATAATTGTTAAAATTGGGCTTTGGTTTTTACCTGATACGCCCCTTCTCTGGGCAGGTGGAGACAGCGGTCATGCATGGGTTAACTCAGCCAGTAACCAATAGCACTGAGTCTACCAAAGTCATCGCCTCTGAGGAGTGTCCTCCTGCTTTCTTGACGGAGATAAGTAGACTGTTGTGCGCTATTCGATTGCTCTCAATCCCTTTGATGCTCCAGTAGTTCTCCCAGATCTCCCTCTGCAAATTAGGCCAGAGCCTGAAAGAGTGGGGATGACCACTGTCTCCACCTGGCCAGAGAAGGCATATCAGGTATGAACCAATGCTCCATTCTCCAAAGTTGGTGGAGACAGCGGTCATGCATGGGACATACCAAAGCTAGGCCTGTCCCTGGGTGGGAATGGGACTGGGCTAGAAGCTTGAAGAGGGAAGAACTTGTTGAAGGACCCACCGTCCAAATGCCGCATCCACTGAAGCTTATGTATCTACCTTATAATGGCAGATAAAGGGGGTAGTAGTAGTCCAGGTGGCCGCCTTGCAGATCTCCACCAAGGCCTGTCTTGTCCACGCTGCCACCATAGCTGCACTGCGCATGGAATGTGCCGTGATGATGGAGGAGTGAGATGATGTGCCAGGTAAGCTCTTGAAATGGCAGATCGGATCCAGCGCCCAACAATTGATGGAGAAGCTTTTAGCCCCTTATTTGTGGGATGGAAAAAGACGAAGAGAGCTTCGGGGGCCCTGAAGACAGCCGTCTTGGCAATACAGGTCTTAAGAGTACGTCTAATCTGTGCCATTTGCGTTCAAGTCTATGAGAAGGATTAGGACAGAAATTTGGAAGAGAGGTTTAGAGATCAATGAAAGACCGAATTTACCTTTGGAACAAAGGTGGGATCAAGGCAAAGGACCACATGGTCCGGATGAAATACACAGGTCAGATTGGATGGAAAGGGCCGCCAATTCCGAGACTCGCCATGACAACATGATGGCCACCAGAAAGGTTGTCTTCAGTGTAAGATGATGCAATGAGTTCAGCAAGAAAGTCAAGGACCCTGGCTAGATGCCACAAGGGGAAAGGGTGTATGACAGGAGAACAGAGATTAGACGCACCCCTAATGAAGCGGTGGACATGAGGGTGCAAGAAAAGAGGTTCATCTCGGTGAAGTGAGAGAACCGAAGAGAGAGCTAACACTTGTCGCCATAAGGTGTTTGGCGAGAGCCCCTTATCAAGCCCCTGTTGCAAGAACTCCAAAACCTGGGGGACCGAAGCCTTCAGGGGGATGGCATCTCAAGAGCAGCACCATGTAGTGAAGGTCTTCCACATTGATTCATAGATCCTGTGAGTGGCAGGCGAGAAGCCTGAATAATCCGAATTTCAGTCTCAGAAAGGTTAGCCGCCCTCAAGACCGCCCACTCAGTTTCCATGCAGTTAGGCGAAGCCAGGACAAGTTGGGATGGTGAATGGACCCCTGATGAAAAGGGGACATTATCATTGGAAGATACCATACCAGGGTTGTTGCGGCCAATGATGGGCAATTAGGATGAGTTCGGCGTCTTCCTCTATCATTTTCCAAATCACCCTCTGTAACGGGGAAGGGAGGGAAGGCGTACAGGAGACCGTGAGGCCATCTGCACCTTAAGGCATCTGTCCCTTCTGCGCCTGGTGCCCTGTAACGAGACAGGTACCTGGGCAACTGCCTGTTGGATACCATTGCGAATAGATCTAGCACTGGAGTCCCATACCTGGACGATAGCTGTCTGAAGATGTGACGGTTCAGGCTCCACTCCGCAGGGTCGATTGTTGTGCGGCTCAATCTGTCTGGGTGTTGTTGTGCCTGAGATGTGTTCGGTGTGGAGAGAGAAGATTGGCTTCCGCCCAGATTCCTAGACAAAAGGCAGATTCGTGAGAGATAGCGCCCTCGTTTCCCCTTGGCGGTTGACGTGCACCTTGGCCGTTGTGTTGTCCACCTGAATCAGCATGTGTGTATTGAGAAGTGAGGATTGGAAATGAAGGAGAACCAGATGGATGGCTCTCAACTCTAGCCAATTCATACTGTGAGAAAGGTCAGAATCGGACCAGAGACCCTGAGCCACTTGATCTTCCAGGTGAGCTCCCCATCCCAATAAGCTTGCGTCCATCATGAATATGAGACGTGGAGATTCCCTGAAGAAGGACCTCCGAGAAATGGCTGGGGAGATCCACCAGTCCAGAGATTAGATTACCTCTGGAGTCAACCTGACTTTCACTGGGGTTGGTTGCTGTTGGTTTTCTGGAATGGCAAATCATTGAAGGCAGCGGCTGTGGAGCCGCACCCAAGAAACAATGGAGAAGTATGAGACCATCTTCCCCAGCAATTGAGACAGCTGGAGAAGAGGGACCAGCTGTCTCCCTCACACCTCGTTGGCCAGGTCTCTGAGGCTGATCTGGCGTTCCTGAGACAAGAAGACCTTTCCCTGAGAAGAATCGATGAGGGTTCCCAAGTGTACCAGATGTGAGGTGGAGACAAGGTGACTCTTCTCCTGATTGATGGAGAATCCCACCTCCTGAAGCACCTGTAAGGTGTCCTGGAGATCCTGAAGAGCCCAGTTGTGTGACCTGGACAACAGGAGAATGTCATCCAGGTAGCACATGATCCGAATGGGTCTGGCTCGCAAGTGGGCTGCTACGACTGACAGGAGTTTGGGAAAACCCTGACAGCCCAAAGGGGAGGACCCGATACTGAAAGTGACGGACCACATAGGCAAAGCGGAGGAACATCTGTGTTGCTTGTGAATGGGCACATAGAGGTAAGCCTCCATGAGGTCCACTGATGTGAGGTGATCGTGTTTTGCACACTCCAGGATTGACAGGAGAGAGTGCATTTTGAATCTGTACCTGATGAATCGATTTAGAAATTTGAGATCGAGGATTGCTTTTCAGTTCCCCGAAGACTAGCACAATAAAGAGACAAGAGTAAAAAACCTGTCCACTTGGCCTGGAGGCACAGGTTGAATGGCCCAAATGTGAAGCAGATGATGAATGGCCTGCTCTACTAGGAGCATCTTGTGAGGTTCCCTGGAGATTGGGCACGTAACAAAGTGGTTTGGAGGGCTGGAGCGCAAGACCAAGAGAAGGCCGAATCTGATAGTGGACCTGACCCACACGTCATTGGTGATGTCGTCCCAATGATCCGCAAAGGTTGCAAGATGTCCCCCGATCAGGAGATCCTCCAGGCAGTCACTTCTGCCTCTTATAGGGACGGTTGGTATTATCCTTGAATGACTTTCTGGGCTGGAATCTCTGGTTGGTTCTGCCTGATCTGTTGGAGAAGGAGGGGCCCTGTCTGGAAGGAGCCTGACATTGCGGACGGGGGTTGGAGGAACCCCCGTCCTGTCCACGAAAGGGCTGCCTACGATAAAAGGACTGATTCCGACCCTCCTGCTTCTTAGTGGCCGGTTGCAGGACATTCCGCTTATCCTTGGACTCTACTAGTAGAGGTTTTAAGGGAGAACCAAAGAGAAGGGGGGAAGAATAGGAAGAGGAGGCAGGTCTCCATTTGGCTCGGGCCTCCGCCTGCCACTGCTTCAGCCAGAGGAACCAGTGAATGGTGATAGAGAATGCTATGGCTTTGGACGCGAAACGGGCCACGTCTAAGAAGGCATCTGCAGTGTATTCTAGGTCCACCTTCAATTTGTTAATGTCCCTGCGAGCCCTAGAATCCCTGGCTGGAAGTCTCCCTTGAAGTTGTCTTAGACATAAGAGTGCAGAGTGACTAAAGAAAGAAGCAGACATAGCTGCCCTGTCGGCCCAAGCCGAGACCTGATGTCCCTTGACCAGAGTTTGTTCTATTCTCTTGTCTTCAGAGCGAAGAGCCTCCTTCGGAGCTGCTGAGGCTGCGTTAGGAGAGGACAAGCTAACTACAAGTCAATAGAAGGTACCTATAGAGCCTTGGTGAGTTCTGGTCCCACGTTATACAGGCGCTTGTCCAAGGTATTGGGGAGGAGGCCTGTACCTGGTGATGCCCATTGGTTTTGGACCATGTCTATGAAGTGTCTGGGTGATGGAATCACCTCTTTTTTCACTTTAGGCTGGATGAAGAGGGGGTTGGTGGTGTCCACCTCCGTTCCCTGAGGAGCCTTGGGTGAAGGGATGCCAGCGATATTGGCTTTAAAAAGAAGAGACCGAAAGACAGCAGATTTAAAAAGACCGACAAAGGTAGGTGGGTCGGGGGGGAGGCCCTCGTCTTCAGAAAGATATGAATCTCATGCAGGGAGTTCCTCCTCTCCGAAAACCAATGGTTGACTGGACATGCCTGGTAACTTATGTGATGAAGGAGGCCGAGAAATCACCTTTCCTGCATCTGGAAGCAGAAGAAGACCTGCGTGAAGTAGAATGGTTAGAAGACCTGTGCTTAAGTCTTGCTTCTATGCCACGTTCAATGGCCTCAGATATGATATCAGCCATGCCAGGTGAGTAACAACGGCGGCAGGAAAGGGAAGAGATATCCTTCTGGTACAAGGGCTCCTCATCAGGAGTGATGCTCCTGCCACCTTTGGATTCATCCCTACTACAGGCCAGATCGCCTGTGCCTCTGGCTTCCTCAGGTTGGATAATGGATGCTGCAGGGAAGAGATCATCCTCCAAATCAGAAGATAGGTCAGGAGGAGGACTAGATTGAACAGGCCTCAGACTGAAACAGATGGGATTCCGTATGTTTGGTCTTGCCTCAGGCCTATTTGGGAGGAGCCTGAGTGGCATTGCCATCGTCCTGTGAAGCTGGATTGGCTGTAGTCCTGTGACTAGACCTGGGAGCCTTGGAAGAGGGTTCAGTGGGGGGAGCCTCCAGGGCAGGTCTGCACCTCTGGGTCCCGGATGAAGGAGACTCGGTGGTGGGAGCAGTGTCCAGGGTAGTTGGAGGGACTTGTGGATCATGGGCAGGAGAGGAAGCAATGGCTTGTACTCATGACTTTGTTGTCCCGAAGGGGAGAATCAAAATGGCCACCGGAGCTTCTTCACACCAAAACAAAATGCTGCTGAGGCTACAGAACCTATGGGCCAGGCGCCACGAGGTAATTGAGGCCACGGAAGGAATGAGGGCAGTGTGGGCTTTAAGAGGAGGCTGCAGAGGCGGTGGCGGTCTAGCAGGAGTGCTTAGCGGCGGCGGCGTGCAGCAGCAGCGGCGCTTTCCCGGCGGCGTTTGGCGGTGAGAGACAGCCAGCAGAAAGCGGCAGCGCTAAGCGGAGCCTCCAACAGCCAGTGCTAGGCAGCGCTGAGTCCAGGGAAGACTTTGCAATCGCAGGCAAAGTCAAGAGGCTAAAAGCCTCCGAAGAAAACCCTGGCAGTCCCTCTCAGGAAGCCCTGTGGCTAATTGAGAGCCCTGGTTCCGAGAGGAGCTATTATCAACGCTCCTGTCCAATAAGAATTTAGAAGTAAAATTTTTAGATGAGAAGCCAATTAAAATAGATTAAAGTAGCCAATTCAGCAATTTTGAATAGTTAAGTTGAGGGGAGAGCAATTAGCACAGCCAGTTTCAATCAAACTGAGTCTAAAAAAGCGGGAGGACATTCCTCAGAGGCGATGACATCACTTTGGTAGACTCAGTTCTATTGGTTAATGGCTGAGTTAACCCATGCATCACCGCTGTCTCTACCAACTTTGGAGAATAGACTGGAATATTTTGCTATTAGGAATAAATAATGGAGTACTGAATTTACACACCAAAATTGGGACTAATAAATACATTGCTCATATTGGCTTAGCAATCTTTGTGGCAAGACTTCTTCCAAGCTGTTTTGGAAACATTTAAAAATGTGGCTTCCCCACAGTGCTGATATAAATAAATTCAAGTCTCTATTGACTGGTGTCAGTGACACTGGCTAGAACAGTCCAGACACAGTCTGTTTTTCACACATTAATTCTCATGGCAACATGTGAACAATTAAGGAGATGTAAAATATAGTAAGTCAGTTCTAAGCAGAAATTAAAATTTAATTTGGATTACAAAAATCAACTGCTGAAATATTAGTTGCACTGTAAAGAATATAACAAAACATTATCTAATTAAAAATAATGATTAAAATCATTTTAAAGGCATAAAATACAGAACCAAAAAGATTTCTAACTGTATACAGCCCTTTCAAATAAAATATATCTTGGGTTTTTTTTTTATTGAACCATATATTTTATTTACTTTCTTCCCCTCATAATGCACTAGAGTCAAAATATTCCAATACTGCACAAAGTATCTTTTTTGTACATTATTTATATAAAAAAATAAAAAATTTGAAACATTCAAAATGATGATCACTTTTAAAAAATTACATTAAAAAATAAATCTTAAGATGACATTCCCTGGACCTTTTTATTCCATTCACTGAGATCCAGACTAAATGCTTTAAGGCAAGTTGTCAGGCTGGCATCAAGATGATAATTTTTCATAAGAGTAAGATAGCAAAGTAGAGCTGTGTAATTGTGAGAGGTCAGTGAATCGGCTTCTCATGTACACTAACAGAACCATCTTCCATGCCAAAGTAAACTCGCTCTGCCATATTGATGAACAGACCTGTTTCCACCACTCCTAAAACAGAAAAACTCAATTATGTTTAATTATTACCAAAATACTACACATTAACTAATATATCTTAAGAATGATATAAATTCAACTGAGATGAAATATGCTGAAAGCTTCAAAAATAAAAATTCTATATTAAAATATACTACATAAACCACAGTAGCATATCTCAACCTCAATAGTGTAGACTTCAACTTCCAGAATTCTAGACCTTTGTACTTTTGCTGAGTTTGAAAAGCCCTGCTCCAGGGGGAATGATTTTTTACTGCTTTGGGTGTTCCAACAGCGAGAAGGGGAAGGAGGAGTCAAAACAATACATTTTCAATAGGGTGCATCATGTGATCATTTTGCAGCAAAAGCAAAGCTGACATTTGCCCATCATCCCTTTTTTCTCTATATGTATCTCACTAATTTTTTGACAGGAAAAAGAAGCAAAAGAAACAAGAACTGTAGCCTCAAACTATAATCAAGAGAAGCCAGACAAGGCAGTTGCAAAGATTTCTGATGTCTATTTAATAATCACTTTATCTTAGTCATGCATTTTAGTCATATAGGATAAGCCGAGTGAAATTTTATGCCATGGAATATCCAAACAGTAGACCCAGCACTTCTAGCAATAAGCAGGTTCCCTTTTTGCCCAAATACTTATGAGCACCCATAAGGGATAATTTCATAGGTAATTATCTAATTCATATTGTAAAAACAATATAGCAGCTTTGCCCAATACCAATTAGATATAAGCAAACTGAGAAAATGAGGGGAAATACTAAATTCTGCATTGCTGACATGACTTATTTTGGTGAAACAATACTGCCACCCGCAGACGCAGTAATGTTCATAAATCCTTTACTAATGTGCCTCCCATTTTTGGTTATAAATTGAAAAAAATCATTTTTTATCTATCAGCTTAGTACAGATTTTATAGAACTAAACCAAAAGAATAAAATCAATCTTTAAAAGTTATAATTTTACTCCAATCTTAAGACTTTGAATATGTAAGGAGTTTGCTTTTGAAAGTACTACAATAATTCAGAGACCTACAAATTAATCCTTTACACTATTAAAACCAAATGTTGTATTAAGGCTACCTGGTATCATCTTGATTGCTACATTCACTTCATTCCAATTATGAATTTTATCAAATTTCCAGTCCAATAAAAAATTTCCATTGTCTGTCACCACAGGACCCTAGCAAGCAAAAAGTAAAAATATTATGCACAACTTATATTATGAAATATAAATCCTATCAGACACATCTAAAGTGACCTGCATGTGAATATTTATCTAAAGAGGGCTAACCTGCAAAAGTCATACACAGATATGTTAATGTAGTGCAGGGGTGTCAAACTCGCGTCATCACATGACATATCAGGACTTTTTTCCCCTTTGCTAAACCACAAACATGGGTGTGGCCAACATATGACTCATCCAGCCTGCGAATTTGACAGCCCTGATGTAGTGTAACACTTACGCATAAAACAACAGATTAAAAAGCAAACAGCAGAACAAAAATACCTATCCTCTTTGTTTATCAGAGTAACAGATAGAAGGGCTCTTGAGGTCTTCTAGTCCTCTGATTGAGCAGGAGAACCTATATACCATTCTGGACAGTTGGCTACCAATTCCTTCTTAAAAACTGCCAGTGATGGAGCAACCACAATTTCTGAGCCGTTCCATTGGTTAATTGTTCTGACAGGAAATTTCTGCTTGGTTCTAGATTGCTACTCTCTTGGAAACCCCCTTTTGTTGTAGTAGCCCCTCAAATATTGGAACACTGCTATCATGACACTGCTAGTCATTTCTTTCACTAGATTAGACATACCCAATTCCGCAACTTTTCTTTATATGTCCTTTCGGCACTAAAGAAATTGTTTATCTATGTCCAGGTCTTTCAACAGTTCTAGTTCTTATATTTTTGAATGACAGTCATATTCTATTACTGCCTATTTACATAAGAGTTTGATTTTATATTTCTATTTTTTATTATGTATGGATTTATTTAGATTATATTTTACTGTGTCTTACCGTTAGCTTCCTAAAAAAATTGGACATTGCACAAATTAAACATTTCAGAAACAAAATATCTGAAGGGCACTGAGCTGGCATAGGCTGGTTAAAATTATACCTAAACTAAAATTCTTGAATTTGTGGAAATTACAATAGGCTTTTGGTCCCTCAAGAGAATCAATTTTACTTTTTATAGTAGTGGTGTTCATGCATAAGATATTTTGAAGAGAATACAATGCTTGCTAGGCATCCTACTGTTGTCCAGTTCTGTCTTCATTTTCAAAAGAGTCAAGATGCTATAATATCCCTTCCTGCAAATGGAAAGGAGGTGGGAAAGATTATCTTGGTCTTAGCTCTCTGAAATGTGCTAGTAGAAGCCAGCTAGGAGCGAGTACAGTATTTTAAAAGTCAATGTCAAGGTTTACAATAAGTGAAAAAACTGGAAGGAAAATATACTAGTCCAGCTGATAAACGAAGATTTATGCAAGTATAGATAGCTTTAAGAAGTACTTTTCCCTGTTTGGCCCCTTCCTGAACCTCTGCAAAGCTAGTAATTTACAGGTGAAACTCGAAAAATTAGAATATCGTGCAAAAGTTCATTTATTTCAGGAATGCAACTTAAATGATGAAACTAATATACAAGATAGACTCATTATAAGCAAAACAAGATAGTTCAAGCCATGATTTGTCATAATTGTCATGATTATGGCTTACAGCTGATGAAAACCCCAAATCCACAATCTCAGAAAATTAGTATATTGTGAAAAGGTGCAATATTCTAGGCTCAAAGTGCCCCACTCTAATCAGCTAATTAAGTTGTAACACCTGCAAAGTGTTCCTGAGCCTTTAAATGGTCTCTCAGTCTGGTTCAGTAGGAATCACAATCATGGGAAAGACTGCTGACCTGACAGTTGTGCAGAAAACCATCATTGACACCCTCCATAAGGAGGGAAAGCCTCAAAAGGTAATTGCAAAAGAAGTTGGATGTTCCCAAAGTGCTGTATCAAAGCACATTAATAGAAAGTTATGTGGAAGGGAAAAGTGTAGATGAACAAGCAGCAGGGATGACCGCAGCCTGGAGAGGATTGTCAGGAAAAGGCCATTCAAAAGTGTTGGGGACTTTCACAAGGAGTGGACTGAGGGTGGAG